GAGCTTTTTGACAACTACATGGAGCAAGGTGCCCATGAATTCTTAAATTACCTACTAAATACCATTACTAATATTTTGCAAGAAGAGAGGAAGCAAAGAATTATTTATTTGATTTTATCTATTCATTAATTTTATTTTAATTTGACCAGAGAGAGAGAGAGAAAGAGGGAAAGTGAGAAAGCAAACCACTAGGTCTGCGACTTGAACCGTGGTTGGCCATGTCAGAATGTCCAGTGCCTTAATCACCACACCACTTGCTGGTCCCCCAGTGTCAGTTTTAAGCTGCCTGGTCTGGGACTTGAACCAAGGTGGATTTTGTGCGAGTCCAGAAATGTAACCATTACGCCGTCTGCTGGTCCCTATGACAATTTAATTTCTTGGTCAATTTTTTTGTACAGCTAACAATTAAATTTTTTTATATGAGAGATTTACCCTTATTATTCAAAATGAGATTTATCCTTGATGAATTTTTAGTTTTCTCTGTTTACCAAGACATATTTCTACAGCTTTTTGATGGTTCTGTAATGAAGTTTGACTTAGTAATTTTAGTCATTGTCAGCTTTATTTGCTTACTTAAATTTATAATGGTGATTATGTTTTAAAACAAAAACTGATAGTTTGCATTTATTGCTTTGAACAGAGACTAGTGTCAGGGCAAAGGCATGCGATTGGGATCTGTGGCTGGGTGAGAATAATCTGCTCCCTCCTTGGTTTAGCTCATGTTTCCATCCTTGGGCGACAGGTTTGAGGGGTATTATTTTTTATAGGTATTCCCAAAAGACTTTCATTCTTGAGTTCCTTTGGATCATGTGCTGAATTTAATTTCCTGCTTTACACATGTTGCTGCTGATCATGTGATAGGGCTCTGTATGACAGAGGATGTCTGCTCATTGGCTCAGAGTTTAAACACCCACTTGTATAAGCTCATCGGTGTAAAAACCTGATTATATCATGTCAGAAACACAACCCTGTATCTGGACCTATCCAGCTTTGATATAGAGTGTATTAGTCTGTTACGGCATGGCCAACGGAAGTACGCGAGGCTGAGTAATTGATAGAGGCTTATTTGACTTTAATCTAGCAACTAGAAAGTCCACAGGCGTCACAGAATGGCAGAGGACAGAACTACGAGCAGAGCCAGCGTGGTCTCTGTCCATGCAGGTCTCTGCCCACCTCATTGCCCTGTCTCAGTCATGGAGGTCCTGGCCTAACTATCCAATCCCTAATCTCTTCCCCAAAGCCCCACCTTTTGATAACATAATTGGATCAAATTTTCACCAGTTTGGGACCAGCAGTTAGCATAATGGCTATATGGCTGAACTCCCATGTGGTTGACCCCGGTTCAAGTCCTAGACCCGGTGGCTTAAAACTCATGCCGGGTGCATGTGTGTAAATGCCCAGAATGCCAGGAGGAGAATGGAGGAGAAGGGATTGTGGCGTGGGCATCCCCCTAGGGGGTGATTTCTTGCTTTCTGTCTCTCTGGCGAGCAATGTGCCCTGTAGCAAAAACCTCTCCAAAAATTTTTTTTTCACCAGTTTAATGTCATTACATTGGCTCAACACATATTGGCTATGTCAGAGGATATATTCAAATTATAGCAGGTAGTTATTAGGCACTTTTTCTCAGCCTAGACATGTTGAGGTAGATAAAAGAAGTTACATATTCAGGAGTGCCTCTGTTTTTACCTGTGTTTGATTATAGACTCTAGATAGATGGAATTTCCCTTTGGATTGATATCTTTAAAGTATCATATTAGCACTGTATTATATTCACTTATAAACCTCAAATAAGCGTCGTGGGACCAGCTGGTTGGATGGCAGTTAAGGCCACTGGATCCCACATGGCCAGCAGCATAGTTTGAGGCCTGTATCTGGTGGCTTAAAAACACATAGGGCACATATGCGTGTGTGCCCAAAATCCTAAGGAGAAATGGAGGAGATTGGACTGTGGCATGACCGTCCACCACAGGGGTTGCTTTCTTACTTTCCCTCTCTTTCTCCGTTTCTCTCCAGTAAGCACATGTATCCTCTAGCAAAACAATTTTTAAAAATAAATACATGTCAAGTAGTAAATATGACCTCTGGGCCACTCTATGGCCTAGTGGTTAAGGCAGCTGGATCCCACATGGCCGCTGCAGTTCAGTCTTGGACATGGCGGCTAAAGAAATGCCCTGGGCACATGGATGTACATGTCTGAAATCCTGAAGGGAAGGAGAGACAGAGGAGAGGGAGTGCCTTCTCCTCTCTCTCTCTCTCTGTCTCTGGCAAGTGCATGTGTTCTAGCAAAAAAAAAAAAAAAAATCACAAAACCAAAAAAGAATTATAATGACCTCTTTGGTGGTTGTACTATGAGGTGTAGTAACAGATATTTATAAACCCAAGAGCCTCTTAGGCCAATTAAGAGCAGCCCAGAACCATTGCTCTGACTTCATCTGACCTGTTGGTATGTAAAAGTAACTGTAAATGTAAAGTTTCATAATAAGAACATGAAATCATAACTTAAATTACAACCGATACTGGAGCATGAACTTATTCTTTACAGATACCTTAGTTAAAGTTTGGTACTGTTACTAAAGAACAGCTTTAAGAAGAGCATATTGAGTATTTACATTAAAGTTGAATGCCGGTTATTTGTTGAATCACTGCCTATTAAAAATTAATGGACTCTTTCTTACTATCATAAAAGCTTATAATCATGGCTTAGTCAAACTACTCTGTCATACTTCAGGTTTTTCATTGTATTTTTTCCCCACTAATTAAAATGTATTTTTTTTCTCCGTAAGAGGAAAAGTAATATTCAAATCGAGCCTTTTAAAAGTATGTTACTTAATTTGTTTGTCCTAGGGCGCTGGAGTCTTAGTGAAATTAACACCTAAAACTATAAATATAAGATTTATTTACCTGAGAACTATCACCTGCCTTTTCCTCTTTTGAAAACAGTTAGTCTTATATAACAAGGTTTTCATAGACATACCAGTTACCATTCTCAAATAGATTTATCATCTCTGTAAGTCTGCCTTGAATTTTTGGTGCTAATCTTTTTTATTAAAGGATTATCTTTTTTTTTTTTTTTTCTTTTTTGAGAGGTTTAGGGCGCTATAGGGCATGTGCGCTCGCCAGACAGACAGAGACAGAGAGACAGAAAGCGAGAAATCACCCCCCGGGGCGATGGCCACGCCGCAATCCCTTCTCCTCCATTCTCCTCTCAGGATCCTGGGCATGTATGCACACGTGCCTGGCGTGAGTTTAAGCCACCGGGTCTGGAACTCGAACCACGGTCGACTACATGGGAGTCCAGCGACATAGCTATTATGCTAACTGCTGGTCCCTTAAATAATTATCTTATTTAATTATTTATTTTAATTTGATGAGAGAGAGAGAGAAAGCTGCTAGGTCTGGGACTCGAACCACAGTTGGCCGTGTGGAAGTCCAATGCCTTTAACCACCCCGCCACCTGCCAGCCCCAGTCTTTTTACTTTTTTTTTTTTAAGGGTTATTTAATTTTATTTATTTATTCATTTATTTATTCAATTTAACTAGAGAGAGAAAATGAGATTGGAAGCCACCAGGTCCGGGACTCAAATGGCAGTCAGCCATGAGGGAGTCCAGCGCTTTAACCACCTTGCCATTGGCCTTGATGTTAGTCTTTTTATAGTTCACCAAGTATTTAGCATGTCTGTGATCCATCAGCTCCCCTGAATTTATTTATATATGCTCGGTATTATATTTTTCTTACGTTACCTGGAGCTTATTTTATATTCCTTTTTCTTGATGGCAAATTGTAATTTTTTTCTGATTTTATAGAATTCACATTTCCTGGGAAATAAAATTACAAAAACATTTTTAAAAGGCTCCTCTTTCACACTGACAGCTTTCAAATGGTTGGTTCTGTCTCACCCTGCAGGTTTGCACAGTTTTTCCTGTGCCCGCTGTTTGATGAGAGTTGCAAAGACAGAGAAGTGAATGCAGTGGATTCGGAGCATGAGAAGAATGTGATGAATGATGCCTGGAGACTCTTTCAGTTGGAGAAAGCAACAGGAAATCCCAATCACCCCTTCAGCAAATTTGGGACAGGTTTGTCAACAGCGGCTTTCATGGATTAGTTCTCCTTGACCTCCTTTAAACCCATGGCCTCGCCACAGTATTGTATTTGACAGTTCAGGATAGAGGATTTCCAAATTCCTGTTTATAGTTACATCCCCTTCAAACAGGGATCTAAATGTTTTAGGAGAAGAGCAGTTGGAGCTGTAAATAGATGTTAAACCAGCATTTCACAGGGGACGGTAATAGGTTTGATCCTGAAGTCTGCCTTCCAGAAAGAAGTGACTATTTTAAGGCTCACTCTGAGGCTTATAGACTCTTCCCACCCTCATCGCTTTCCCCCGCTTCTCCTGATGTGTAACGTCGCTATGGGGCAGCTGCAGAGGAGACAGGACTCTAGAAGGTATCAAGTCCCTGCCGTCGAAGGGCTGCCGTCTCCTGAAAGGAGAGGAGAGGAGTGGAGGTGGCAGGGTATAGAATAAATTAATGTGGAAATTCTTGATTTCATAGTTACGCCCTTCTTCTTTATTCAATTTTTCATTAAGAAGTACTTACTTTAAATAGTTAAGCAGTACCGAAGTATTTTTTTTTAATAATTTATTTATTTATTTCCATTTGTTATTGTTAGTTTCTTTTTTATTTGATGAGAGAGAGAGAGGAAGGGAAAGTGAGAAAGCAAGCCACCAGGTCCGGGACTTGAACCATGGTTGGCCATGTGGGAATCCAGTGCCCTTATCCACCACACCACCTGCTGGTCCCAGTACCGAAGTATTTAAAGTAAAAATAAAAGCAAAAGCAAAGCCTCGCTTTCTCTTATCTACTCCTGGCAATCCCAGTCGCTATGCATTTATATAATACTGCTTTGGGTATTACAAAATTGCATAAAAATAATATATTAATGTTTAGTGCATTTCTCAATTTGTAAGTTATTTGGGGGAACTTTTAAAGACTATAAGAACAGCTTGCCTTAAGTTTGAATGTTATTGGAATATATTCAACAGCAGCTGATGAAATTTGTATAGCTTCATGGAATTAAAAGGATTTTTTTAAAAAACTGGAATTAGAAGAGGCGATATTGCATTCTGTATATTCAAAATCAGTATCATTGCTCAAACCGATAGTGCATTCCCTTTAATGTCTGTGTAATTGGAAGTGGTTTTCATAGAGGACATCTGTCTACATGGTATGTCAGGAAGGGGCTGTGACTTTTTTTTTTTTTTGGAGAGGTTTTTGCTATAGGGCACGTGCACTCACCAGACAGACAGAGAGAGACATAGAGACAGAAAGAGAAATCACCCCCCGGGGGGATGGTCACGCCGCATTCCCTTCTCCTCCATTCTCCTCTTGGGATCTTGGGCACACACGCACACGCGCCCAGCGTGAGTTTTAAGCCACCGGGTCTGGGACGCGAACCACGGTCGACTACGTGGGAGTCCAGCGACATAGCCATTACACTGACTGCTGGTTCTCAGGAGCTGCCTTCTTTTAAAGAGCCTCATTGTGACAAATCATATCCAGCATAATCAGGAGGCAGCCACACTCTTTTCTTTTTTTTGTAGTGGTCTTTTTCCTATGGGGCGTGTGCGCTCGCTGGAAAGATAGAGACAGAAAGCGAGAAATCACCCCCAGGGGGATTGGCCATGCCGCAATCCCTTCTACTCTTGGGATCTTATGCACGCACACACGCACGCACACGCGCCCAGCATGAGTTTAAGCCACTGGGTCTGGGTCTCAAACCATGGTCAACTACATGTGAGTCCAGTGACATAGCCATTACGCTAACTGCTGGTCCCAACAACACTTTTAGAAATAAATCCAATGAGTAAGGTGGTCATAAGCAAGGAACTTCTGATCATAAGCAAGCAACAATTCCGAAATGTCCCATGGGAAGGTTTTGCGGGTGACCGGCAGAGAGAAACGTTGCATGTCTGCGTATGTACAGGTGGGGTTTGTAGGGCGTGTTTGTTTTTACAGTCTGTCAAGGCTAGGCAGTTAGTCAGCACAGTCTAAGTAATCTAAATGGCTGTGGGATGAGTGAGCTGGACTTGAATACACAAGTACTGAAACTGTGATGTAAGGAATGCAAATGTCAAGTTACCTTCTGATTTTAAAAATATAAACTAGCATTGTCTTTTTTTAGACTAGAGATTCCATCCATTTTTAAGGTCATAGATATGTTTGAAAATATAAAACATACTCTAGTCCCAGAATTAGACACATGTAAAATTTTGCAAAAGCAATCCTTGAAGAAAGATCCTTGTCAGAAATTGATGCTTAACTTATTTCTCTTATTTTTGAGTGGCCTCAGATGCTTTTTTGAATGTGGGTTATTTTATTGATCAAGGGATTGTGATTTTAATAATAATATTGGGAAAATGTGGGTATTTTAAATGAACAAAACCCAAGCTTTATGCCATCTATTTTAAGAAAACCTTACACTACAACATTGGTCCTTTATCATGGTTTTTCATGCTTCAGAAATAGTGTAGATCAGTCTCTCTCTCGCTTGTTTGTATGTAGCCCAGAGTAAGAGGCCCATTTTACCTAGCAACTCAGCACAGATACCTATGCTCATGTAAGCAGCTGAAACAACAGTTTTAGCAAACAATATCTATCTTATATCATGGGAAGTAGTCTTGTACTTTCTGTTATGTCTGTATTTTTTCCCCCCAAAATTCTTGTCTGCCAGCACTTTAAATTTATTTCATTATAATCTAATGTGTCCCAATTCACAGTTTAAGTAATCCAAAGTGATAGGTAGTCCGTAGACTCAGAAAGCACTGGAGCCAGTCATGGTACTGCTACTTTGGAATACTGGAGCCACATGGAAGGTGCACGTTTGGATCCTGGGTCAGCTTGAACAATCTAGGGGCACCTGCCTGTTTCTATGATCCTGGCTGGCTGAGAGGCTGGTGGAAGGATTGTGGCATGGTGAGAACTTGATAGGGGTACCTCTTTTGCATATGCATTCTCTCATTCTTTTTTTCTTTCTCTCTCATGAAATAGACATTAAGAAACAAAAGAAAAGCGGGTCCAGAGGTGGTGTGGTGGTTAAAGGCACTGGACTCCCACATGGCTGACTATGGTTCAATAATAATGATAATAATAAATAAAGAAGAAATCTTTTTAAGAATTACTTATTTAATTCCATTAGTTTTCATTATTATTATTTTTTAAAATTTGACCAGAGACAGACAGAGATTTGCGATTGCAAGGAAGCAAGTTGCCAGGTCCAGGACTCGAATCATGGTTGGCCATGTGGAATCCAGCACCTTTAACCATCACACTACCTGCCGGCCCCTCTTTTATTTTATTTTATTTGAAAAGCATCATTTTATCGAGATCAGGTGGTGTAATGGTTACGTTGCTGGACTTACTGGGATCAGCAGATGGTGTAAAGGTTACATTGCTGAACTCCCATGTAGACCTCAGTTTGAGTCCCCGACCCGGTGGCTTAAAACTCAAGCTGGGTAGGCGTGCATGCATGCCCAAAATCCCAAGAGGAGAATGGAGGGGAAGGGACTGAGGCATGGCCATCCCCCTTGGAGGGTGATTTCTCGCTTTCTGTCTTTTCTCTGTGTTCTAGCAAAAAAAAAAAAAAAGAATTATTTTACTTAACTTTATCTTTTTAATTTTTTTCAATTTGATCAGATTGTGTGTGTGTGTGTGTGTGTGTGTGTGTGTGTGTGTTGGGGGGGGTGACATGAGAAAACAAGCCGCCAGATCCCAGACTCGAACCACTGTTGGCCATGTGGGAGTCCAGCACCCCTAACCAGCACTCTGCCTGCCAGCCCCCCAAAAAAGATTAAATCTCTTTAAAAAAAACAGAAAGAAAGAAAAGAAAAAGCATTAGATGAAACTTAGCACTCATCCATGAACAGAAGTAAACAACAATAGCAAAACAAGCCACTGAGAACAGTCAGATGCCATGATTTTTTTCTTTTATTTGCCAGAGGGAGTGTGTGCTCACTGGAGAGAGAGAGTGATAAAGCATCCCAGGGGGTGGTCATGCTACAATCCCTTCTTTTGGATCCCAGGGGGGTGGTCATGCTACAGTCCCTTCTTTTGAATCCCAGGGGGGTGTTCATGCTACAATCCCTTCTTTTGGATTTTGGGCATGCACGCACACCGGCATGATTTTCTTTCTTTCTTTTTTTTTTTTAGAGGTTTTTGCTATAGGGCACGTGTGCTCACCAGACAGAGAGAGACAGAGAGACAGAAAGTGAGAAATCACCCCCCGGGGGGATGGTCACGCCTCAATCCCTTCTCCTCCATTCTTCTCTCGGGATCTTGGGCACGTACGCACAAGTGATTTTTAAGCCCCAGGTTCAGTACTCTAGTTGCCCTGTCAGCCATGTGGGCTCTAGCTACCTTAACCACCATGTCACCAGCTGGCCCCAAACATCATGATTAGTGGTGAAGTTTCAAAAGGGTTTCTACTGGGGGAACCAGCAGTTAACGTAATGGCTATGTCGCTGGACTCCCATGTAGTCGACCGCGGTTCGTGTCCCGGACCCAGTGGCTTAAAACTCACGCCGGGCATGTGTGCATGCATGCCCAAGATCCCAAGAGGAGAATGGAGGAGAAGGGATTGTGGCATGGCCATCCTCTCTTGGGGGTGATTTCTCGCTTTCTGTCTCTATGTCTCTCTCTGTCTGTCTGGCGAGCGCACGCGCCCTATAGCAAAAACCTCTCCAAAAAAAAAAAAAAAATGGTTTCTATTGGAAGGGACCAACAGTTACCGTAATGGCTATGTCGCTGGACTCCCCTGTAGTCGACCGCGGTTCGTGTCCCGGACCCAGTGGCTTAAAACTCACGCCGGGCATGTGTGCATGCATGCCCAAGATCCCAAGAGGAGAATGGAGGAGAAGGGATTGTGGCATGACCATCCTCTCTTGGGGGTGATTTCTCGCTTTCTGTCTCTATGTCGCTCTCTGTCTGTCTGGCGAGCGCACGCGCCCTATAGCAAAAACTTCTCCCCCCAAAAATAATAAGGTTTCCTCTGAAAGTCAAAAAGGAAACAAGTATGTCCT